ATGCTATTTGTTATGCTCCACAAATAAGTGAAACCATATGATAATTGATTCTCTCTGCTTGACTTACTTCACTCAGCATAATCTCTTCCAGTCCTGTCCATGTTGCTACAAAAGTTGGGTATTCATCCTTTCTGATGGAGGCATAATACTCCATAGTGTTTATGGACCACATCTTCCTTATCCATTCGTCCATTGAAGGGCATCTTGATTCTTTCCACTGTTTGGCGACTGTGGCCATTGCTGCTATAAACATTGGGGTACAGATGACACTTCTTTTCACTACATCTGTATCTTTGAGGTAAATATCCAGTAGTACAATTGCAGGGTCATAGGGAAGCTCTATTTTTAATTTCTTGAGGAATCTCCACACTGTTCTCCAAAGTGGCTGCACCAACTTGCATTCCCACCAACAGTGTAAAAGATTCCCCTTTCTCCACATCCCCTCCAACACATGTTTTTTCCTGTCTTGCTAATTTTGGCCATTCTAAGTTGTGTAAGGTGGTATCTCAATGTGGTTTTAATTTGAATATCCCTGATGGCTAGTGATGATGAACATTTTTTCATCTGTCTGATAGCCATTTGTATGTCTTCATTGGAGAAGTGTCTGTTCATATCTTCTGCCCATTTTTTGATATGATTATCTGTTTGGTGTGTGTGGAGTTTGAGGAGTTCTTTATAGATCCTGGATATCAAACCTTTTGTCTGTACTGTCATTTGCAAATATCTTCTCCCATTCCGTGGGTTGCCTTTTTGTTTTGTTGACTGTTTCCTTTGCTGTGCAGAAGCTTTTGGTCTTGCATAAAACAGAAACATAGACCAGTGGAACAGAGTAGAGAGCCCAGATATGGACCCTCAACTCTACGGTCAAATAATCTTCAATAAAACAGGAAAAAATATACAGTGGAAAAAAGACAGTCTCTTCAATAAATAGTGCTGGGAAAAATGGACAGCTATATGTAGAAGAATGAAACTCGACCATTCTCTTACACCGTACACAAAGATAAACTCGAAATGGATAAAAGACCTCAACATGAGACAGGAATCCATCAGAATCCTAGAGGAGAACATAGGCAGTAACCTCTTCGATATCACCCACAGCAACTTCTTTCAAGATATGTCTCCAAAGGCAAAGGAAACTAAAGCAAAAATGAACTTTTGGGACTTCATCAAGATCAAAAGCTTTTGCATCTTATTTATAATTATTTTCCTTAATCAGATTTATAAGAATCTGCTTGAGATTCTCTCTCTCTTCTCCCTTACCCTCTGTCCCTCCCTCAACTCTGTCTCCTGAGCTCTCTCTCTCTCTAAAATAAATAAATAGATTTTTTTTAAAGAAAATCCTTTTTAATTTGAATCTCCCTGATGGCTGGTGATGATGAACATTTTTTCATGTGTCTGATAGCCATTTGTATGTCTTCATTGGAGAAGTGTCTGTTCATATCTTTTGCCCATTTTTTGATATGATTGTCTGTATTGTGTGTGTTGAGTTTCAGGAGTTCTTTATAGATCCTGGATATCAACCTTTTGTCTGTACTGTCATTTGCAAATATCTTCTCCCATTCTGTGGGTTGCCTCTTTGTTTTGTTGACTGTTTCCTTTGCTGTGCAGAAGCTTTTGATCTTGATGAAGTCCCAAAAGTTTATCTTTGCTTTTGTTTCCTTTGCCTTTGGAGACATATGTTCTCCTCTAGGATTCTGATGGATTGCTGTCTCATGTTGAGATCTCTTATCCATTTTGAGTTTATCTTTGTGTACAGTGTAAGTGAATGGTCGAGTTTCATTCTTCTGCATATAGCTGTCCAGTTTTCCCAGCACCATTTATTGAAGAGACTGTCTTTTTTCCACTGTATATTTTTTCCTGTTTTGTCGAAGAGTACTTGCCCATAGAGTTGAGGGTCCATATCTGGGCTCTCTACTCTGTTCCACTGGTCTATGTGTCTGTTTTTATGCCCGTACCATGCTGTCTTGGTGATCAGGGCTTTGTAGTAAAGCTTGAAATCAGGTAACGTGGTGCCCCAGTTTTATTTTTGTTTTTCAACATTTCCTTAGCGATTTGGGGTCTCTTCTGATTCCATACAAATTTTAGGATTTGCTCCAGCTCTTTGAAAAATACCGGTGGAATTTTGATCAGAATGGCATTAAAAGTATAGATTGCTCTAGGCAGTATAGACATTTTAACAATGTTTATTCTTCCGATCCAAGAGCATGGAATGGTCTTCCATCTTTTTGTGTCTTCTTCAGTTTCTTTCATGAGTGTTCTGTAGTTCCTTGAGTACAGTTCCTTTACCAGTATTTTTTAAAGAACACAGGCCACCCTTTCATAATAAAATGCTCAGCAAACTAGGACCATAAAGGACCATAAAAGACATTTATGAAAATTCCACAGCTAATGTATTCAGTGATAAAAGGCTGAATAGTTTTCCCCTAAGATTAAGAACAGGACAAGAATGCTTGTCCTCATTCTTGGTATTCAACATAGTACTGAAAGTTCTAGCCAGAGCAATTACCAATATGTACAAAAATCCCTTTAGAGTGAATGGCCGCATTAACATATTCATATTTATCTATAATAAAATATTCAGCAAAATTGCAAGAAAAAAGGAAACACACAAAACCAATAAATATATTTCTATACACTCTCAATGGGAAATACAAAAAGTAAAAAACAATTCCCTTTATACTAACATTAAAAGAATAACATACTCAGAAACACATTTAACCAAAATTTGCACAATGAAAACAATAAAACATTGATAAAGAAATGATAGAACTAAGTAACACATCCTTTGTCCATTTAACCAAAATTTGCACAATGAAAACAATAAAACATTGATAAAGAAATGATAGAACTAAGTAACACATCCTTTGTCCATAGATTGAAGACTTAATATTGTTAAGATGGCAATATTCTCCACAACAATCTATAGATTCAATGCAATTGCTATTAAAATTTCAGTAACCTTCTTTGGAGAATTAGAAACTCAGATCTTAAAATTCTTATTGAATTGCAAGGAATGCCAAATAGTCAAAATAATCTTTAAAAAAAACCAAGAAAACAAAGTTGAAAGATTCACATTACCTACAAAGCTTTGGTATTTAATGCATTGTGATGCTGGCGTAAGGATAGACATACAGATGAAAGGAGTAGAGATTAAATTTAAGAAAGAGTCTCAAGTATATATAGTCAGATATCTGTGTTCATAGCAATTCAAAAGAGGAACAAATAATTTTTTAAAAAAATTATAATGGGAGGTGCCAGGAGCTGGGAAAACCACATGGGTTACTAAACATGCAGCAGAAAACCCTGGTAAATACAACATTCTTGGAACAAACACCATAATGGATAAAATGATGGTGGCCGGGTTTAAGAAGCAGATGGCGCATACAGGAAAACTGAACACCCTGTTGCAGAGAGCTCCCCAGTGTCTTGGAAAGTTTATTGAGATTGCTGCCCGTAAGAAGCGAAATTTCATTCTGGATCAGACCAATGTGTCTGCTGCTGCCCAGAGGAGAAAAATGTGCCTGTTCGCAGGCTTCCAACGAAAAGCTGTTGTAGTTTGCCCGAAAGATGAAGACTACAAGCAGAGAACACAGAAGAAAGCAGAAGTCGAGGGAAAAGACCTACCAGAACACGCAGTCCTCAAAATGAAAGGAAACTTTACGCTGCCCGAGGTGGCTGAGTGCTTTGATGAAATAACCTATGTTGAACTGCAGAAGGAGGAAGCCCAGAAACTTCTGGAGCAGTATAAGGAAGAAAGCAAAAAAGCTCTTCCGCCAGAAAAGAAACAAAACACTGCCTCGAAGAAGAGCAATAAAAATAAGAGCGGCAAGAACCAGTTCAACAGAGGCGGCGGCCACAGAGGCCGCGGCGGCTTCAACATGCGTGGTGGCAACTTCCGAGGAGGAGCTCCTGGGAACCGCGGTGGCTATAACAGGAGGGGCAACATGCCGCAGAGAGGCGGCGGCGGCGGCGGCAGTGGCGGGATTGGCTATCCGTACCCGCGTGGCCCTGTGTTTCCCAGCCGAGGCGGTTATTCCAACAGAGGGAACTACAACAGAGGTGGAATGCCCAACAGAGGGAACTACAACCAGAACTTCAGAGGACGAGGAAACAATCGTGGCTACAAAAATCAATCTCAGGGCTACAACCAGTGGCAGCAGGGTCAATTCTGGGGTCAGAAGCCATGGAGTCAGCATTATCACCAAGGATATTATTGAATACCCAAATAAAACGAACTGATACATATTTCTCCAAAACCTTCACAAGAAGTCGACTGTTTTCTTTAGTAGGCTAACTTTTTAAACATTCCACAAGAGGAAGTGCCTGCGGGTTCCTTTTTTAGAAGCTTTGTGGGTTGATTTTTTTTCTTTTCTTTTTTGTACATTTTTAATTGCAGTTTTAAAGTGAATCGTAAGAGAACCTCAGCATTGTGCACGATAAGAGAATGTGTCAGTATTTCAGGGTTCTACATTTTATCTGTAAAATGTGACTTTTTTTTTTATCACAACAAAAGTAAAATGTTGCTTTGTA